TGTGCCCACTGTCTGCCCGCTCTGTAACACGGTCAATGAAGCAGGTTATGAATGTAAGTCTCGTGCCCGCCAGAGAGCGTTCACGCTTACTAACACACACTTCTCCCCGGGCGCCGCCCGCGCGTCTAAGTGTTATCACAAGGCGCAGGGCGTTAATAAGACGCTCCCCATCCTATTCGATCGGGGCGTCAAATACACTTGTAAGTCTCGTGCCCGCGCACACGCGTTCACGCTTACAGAAAGCTTCTCCGCCCAGAGCGCTGCTCGCGCGACAAAAAGTGGAAAGAGAATGTTCCCCATCCCTTATGATTGGGACATTCCACATAAATCAGCCGGTTTCGGTTTTCAGCGAGCAGCCATTGCCCAGAACCGAGAGCGCGCGCGCCACGCTTTCGGCTCCGGTTCAGTTTTCACAAGCCCGCGAATGGCGGCGATCTGAACCTGGAGGCCATTCGCCCCCTAGCGGCTCACGTAGCTGCATGGGAAGCTATCCCAAGGGTTTCAGAATGGGTGCTGAGCACAATAAAGCATGGCTATACACTTCAATTCATTCGCCGTCCCCCGCGCTTCCGAGCCCGGACCGCGACGATAGTGAATGCGGAAGTAGCACACCTACTTCACGCAGAAATAGCAAAGCTGCTGTGCAAAGGGGCAATAGAAAGGGTACCGCCTTCTCTGAGCGAGTCAGGCTTTTACAGCCGATATTTTCTCGTACCCAAGAAGGACGGAGCCTTCAGGCCCATCCTCGATCTGAGACATTTGAACAAGGTGCTTGCGAAAAGACCGTTCAAAATGCTTACGACCAGAAAAATCCTCGCGCACGTTCGCCCGAGGGACTGGTTTATTTCTCTAGATCTGAAGGATGCCTATTTTCAGATTCAGATAATACCCCGTCACAGGCGATTTTTGAGATTCGCCTTCGACGGTCAGGTATATCAATACACCGTCCTGCCGTTCGGCCTGTCTCTAGCACCCCGTACATTTACGAAGTGCATGGACGCGGCGCTCGCCCCCCTGAGAAGTCAGGGGCTGCGAATAATGAACTACCTGGACGATTGGCTGATATTGGCACAGTCAGAGACAGAACTGATGTCTCACAGAACAGTGCTTCTCAGTCACCTGGAAAGCTTGGGTCTCACGGTCAACTGGACCAAGAGCTCATTAACGCCCAGCCAGTCAATTTCCTTTTTAGGAATAGAACTGGACTCGTGACTATGACGGCATGTTTATCGACGCAGCGCGCGCGCCGTGTTCGACACCTAGCCGCATCTTTCCAGAAGGGCAGCTTTCTCCCTCTGAAAACATTTCAAAGGATGTTGGGCTGTATGGCGTCAGCTGCAGCGGTCCTTCAGCTGGGCCTACTGCGCATGCGCCCGCTCCAGCGCTGGTTGAATGCTCGCGCGTCTTGCCGAGCTTGGGTGTCTGGCGGCCAGAAAATCAGAGTGACTCAGACCTGCATAGCGGCTCTGCAGCCCTGGTTAGTAGCCGACTTGTACCAGCAGGGAGTGATGATGGGAACCATCTCTTACCGAAAAGTCACAGACCGGCCTTCGGCCAGTGGTCAGATCAAGAGAAGTGTTTCCACATAAACTGTCTGGAGATGTTAGCGGTCGAGAACGCACTGAAGTGCTTCCTCCCGTTCATACAGGACCAACATGTTCTTGTCCGCTCGGACAACATGTCTGTGGTATCCTATGTCAACCGTCAGGGCGGTGTTAGATCCAGGAATCTCTGCAATCTGGCGGAACGCCTCCTTATGTGGTCTCAGATGCACCTGCGTTCGCTGAGGGCGACGCACGTGCCTGGCCATTTGAACGACGGCCCAGACAAACTGTCCAGGGACAATGTTCCCCCAGGGGAATGGTCCCTGCACCCACAAACGGTCCAGAAACTGTGGCGCCTATTCGGCAGAGCGGAGGTCGACCTATTTCCGTCAAAAGACAACGCTCAATGTCCGATATTCTTTACGGAAGACGAGGACGCGCTGGCCCAGGTTTGGCCCAGCCTCCCGCTTTATGCTTTCCCTCCGGTCTCTCTGTTACCTCAAGTGTTCAAGAGAATCAGGGAAGCACGCCACTCGGTGCTCCTCATAGCCCCGCGATGGGAGAATCAGATTTGGTTCCCGGAACTGACACAGCTGTCACGCACAGCTCCGTGGCTCGCGGCACGATCTGGCATCCCTATCCAGAGCGCTGGTCTCTGCACGCATGGTTGATCAACGGGTACTCGTTACCCTGCCAGAAGGAGTGATGAACACAATCACACAGGCTAGAGCTCCTTCCACGAGAAGGCTCTACGCGTCTAAGTGGTCGGTGTTCTCCAGATGGTGCACCGACAGAGGTCTGGACCCGCGGACATGCGGGGTGGCGCATCTGCTCACTTTCCTACAAGAGATGTTGGATAAGGGGAGGTCCCCATCCACGCTCAAAGTGTATGTGGCGGCCGTGGCAGCGTTCGCAGAGCCGACGCACGGCCAGTCATTGGGAAGACATGAGCTGGTCATCCGCTTCCTTAGAGGAGCTAGAAGGATGAACCCGCCGCGCCCCCCGTCGGTTCCTGTGTGGGATCTTTCATTGGTCCTCGAGGCCCTGAAAGCTTTTCCATTTGAACCACTGGACTCCGTGGGGTTGAAATATCTATCACTAAAAACCGTTTTTCTGATTGCACTGTCGTCAGTAAAACGTGTGGGGGACCTGCACGCGCTGTCTGTCAGCGCATCGTGTCTGGAGTTCGGGCCGAATGACTCTAAAGTCATCCTCAGACCTAGACATGGCTATGTCCCTAAAGTGATGGGCACTCCATTCAGAGCGCAAGTCATTTCACTGTCAGCTCTGCCAGCATCTGACAGCGAAAGTGATGTGAATCTCCTCTGCCCTGTTAGGGCGCTGAGGTTTTACATTACGCGCTCCGCCTCCTTCAGGCGTTCGGAACAGCTGTTTGTTTCGTTTGGAGGGCGCACCAAGGGTCTCGCCTCCTCGAAACAGAGCCTGTCCAGATGGATAGTGGACGCTGTAGCAGCCGCTTACGTATCAAAAGGTCTGCAATGCCCTTTGGGTATCAGGGCTCATTCCACGAGAGGCGTTGCCTCGTCGTGGGCGTGGTCCAGTGGGATCTCTATCCATGACATATGTGTAGCGGCGGGCTGGAGCTCCCCGTCTACCTTTGTCAGGTTTTATAACCTAGAGGTTCCCGCCTTGCAGGCTAAACTTTTGTCAGTTTGAAAGGGATGTGTATTCTGCCCAGATATTCTGCTCAGATCACTCTCACGTGACTCAGCTCTCCTGGTTGAGCTGCACCAGTAGGGTATGTGCCATGTGCCTATACAGACCACCGCGCTGCTCTGTATTCCCTATGTGTGCTTATATACAAGTGATGGCCCGCATGGCTGGCCACCTTATTTTTCCCACTTATTGGGCTCCCCTGAAGTTCGGGGTCTCATGGTGGATGCTTGGCGCGCACGGCGTTGACAAAGTGTTCCCGTAGCGTAAGCTAAACTTACGCAATACGAGAGAACCTCTCGTAAGAGAACGATACTCGGTTACTAACGTAACCTCGGTTCTCTCTAGAGAGGGAACGAGTATTGCGTAACCGGCCGTGCTCGCGCCACGAGCGACTTCGCTTCAGTTGTCGAAAAACCAGGGAATTCAGCCTACGAGCCCCTTCTTTTATACGCTAAGCCACGCCCATTCTGGCGGGCTGTGACGCTATGAAGGCGCGAGCGCCCTTCATTGGGCGTGACGTCACGCCGGGCTCACTGGTAGGCTGCAGCAGTTGCCTGCAGGGCAGCCAATGAGCACGCTAGACTGCCTGCTCTAGGTCTGCTAGCTGCTGCACTGCGTTGACAATGAATACAAAATTAGGATAATTTTTTGGCTTCAATATCTCGAGAAGATGAATCTTTCCCGTAGCGTAAGCTAAACTTACGCAATACTCGTTCCCTCTCTAGAGAGAACCGAGGTTACGTTAGTAACCGAGTATCGTTTTTCAACATTGATAATAAGAAGAAATGTTACTTGAGCAGCAAATCAGAATGGTTTCTGAAGGATCATGTGACACTGAAATCTGGAGTAATGGCTGATGAAAATTCAGCTTTACCATCACAAGAATAAATTACATTTTAAAGCATATATAAAATAGAAAACCATTATTTGAATAGTTTATTAGTATTAGTAGTATTATATATTGATCAAATCATAACGGCAGTGTATTCTGTTTTTATTAAGAGGAAAAATGTAAACCATGACCTATGAAATATATACTTTCTACTTTTTACCATTTCAAAGTATGAGTACATTCATCCCTATTAGTAGTTCAATAAAATGGAAATTTTTGTATAGTAATATAGTCCAATTATCCAAGCACTTTACACCCCTGCTTTTACAATCTTGCACCAGAAACATGTCTAAAAACCAAGTTTGACCCAAAACAGAAATAATAAACCAAATCACAAACAGAAAAACAGTGAAGACCCACAGTGATAAGCTGCTTGAGTGGATAACAGACAAAAACATACAGCACTCGTGGTCGAAAACATGATTGGAAACGCAATGACTCCAAAAGCTGCGTCAGAATCCCTGTGTTGGAGATGATTTGAATTATTTATCTTCACCTTGTACCTGACCAGTATACTGTAAACCTGGCACACGTTGATAAAAGGACAAAGGTGGGGAGGAGTGACTTACACAAAAGCAAAGTAAAAATGCATTCAAGTCACAAACAGAAAGAATAAGCAGAAAACGAAAGAAAGGCTGCCACACTGACTCAGCTGGACAGGATGGTCTGATCAAAGTGACAGCAAGACCTGTGGCTGAATCACTCAACCTAAGATTCAAGCGAAACACTTAAAGAAAAAGGCAAGCAGACTGCAAGCAAGAAACGAGGATGGTGCTGGTCAGGGCGTGAGGGAACAACTGTTTGTGAAAAGTGCTTGAGAACGAAGAAAAAAAAAAAGGAGGGGTGGCGGAAGTGATGGAGTGTCTCCAGATAAGCAGGGTACTCACGAATGGTTAAATCCATCACTTGTGACGCCAAACAGAAGACAGGATGCTCATACATTTCTCTCTTTTTCCCTATAAAAGAGGATGGGGGCATGCAAGAGCAAGGGGTCAGAGGAGAAAGAGAGAGAAAGAAGCACAACGGCTGCATGTGCACTACGGGGCTTTTGACCAAATCTAGTTGCATGCAAAGTTGCCTAGTGGCAGGGTTGATGAAAAGCCTAGCAACTATTAAAATCAGTCAACCTGATATGATCTGCAGGTCAGTATGCATGAGGCTAGAAGACAAGGGTCTCTAGTCAGCTAAAGAAAGCCAGAAATAACATCATTTGTGATTATTTGAGTGTTTCTGGACCATTTCTCTTTTCTAGGCAGTTCTTTAATCCTGTGTATACTAGGACCACGTCTGAATTTTAAACTTAGTGTATGCACAAAAACTTGATGGATCTCTATAAACTTCTTCACATTGAGTCAAAAACATCATATGGTAACAATTTGTGACTACCCAAAAGTTTGGAGTAATTAAGATTTTTTAAAGTATCTTATGCTCACCAAGGCTGCATTTTTTTAAATGAAAAATATAGTAAAAAGAGTAATATTGTGAAATATCATTACAATTTAAAATTTTAATATAATTTCTATTTTTTATTTATTTTAAATGTATTCCTGTGATGTATTTTCAGCATCATGACTCCAGTCTTCAGTGTCACATGATCCTTCTATGATTAGAAATCATTCGAATATGCTGATTTGGTTCACAGTTATTATCAATTATTATTGGTGTAAATTTTTTACAGGGTTCTTTTTCTTACAGCATTTATTTAAAATAGAGATCTTTAGTAACATTATAAATTACTTTACTGTCACTTTTGATCAATTTATGGCTGCTGCAAATCCAGCTTCACCAGAAAAAAAAACTTTTTAAAATATATTAAAATAGAAACCGTTCTTATGAAATTTGATCAATATTTCACAATATTACAGTTTTTACTTTTTGTTTTTTTAAACAAATAAATGCATACTTGGTGAGCATAAGAGACTTCTTTCAAAAATCTAAAACAATGATTTTAATTATTCCAAACCTTAGACCTGTAAGACCTATTTTCAGAAATATTATTCCAAAAAATTCCATCGGACACGTTGCAAATAGTTTTGGCTTGAAAAAAATGTGAACAATTAGTTTTGGTTTAGTCTACCATTAGTTTTGCATGTAAGTTACTCCAGCTAAAAGCTTTGGTCTCTGGAAAAGACTTTATTTTGGGGATGTGTTGCAAACTATTGGTCAGTTCAGGTTAGTACAAAAGTCACATTCAGTTTAGTGTTCAGCAATCAAAGGGTCAATAGGGAACAACACAGACATCATCTGGCTAACAGATACTAAGGGCTTCTCCTTCAGTATCTGCAGTGCCCAGTCATATTTCTTCATCGACATGGACGGGCACTGAACAATAATTAGAGAAAATTAAATTAAAGCACTTGTCCAATCAACATGGCTATTATTTGGCATCAAAGACATCACAGACATGTCACAGTGTGTGAGCCACAGTTTTGCTGTCCATGTCCATGAAAGAAACCGTCTCACTTGCAACACACATTGTGTGTTGCTTGAGTGGGCAATCCCAGCTTTGCACTGTATATTGGCTTCTCGAAATTGGCTCAACAAGAGAGGGCTCCAAATAAGACGAAAAGCCAATAAACAAGAGCAAAAGCAGAGAGGGAGGGAGCAGAAAGAGAGAAAGAGCGAAGGAGAAAGAAAGAAAGAGGAAAAAAGACAAAGACTAGTAAAAAGGCAGTGATTCTGCAATCAACATATTAAGCAGGGGAGCTGGAAAGGTGATGAAGAGCTGGAAAGGAAAAGTATATATTTTTTTTGCTGTAAAGTAATTTTAAACCACAGGATAGAGGCAAACATCCACAGAGGGAAGCGAGAAACCATCGAGCAGAGCAATATGGCACCGAGGCCAGGGTTTGAGAGAGGGAATTGAATGCATTTTTACATACTCCTAGAAACAGCTAAAACAACCCTGCACCAACACAACCTAAAACCTTTTAAAAAAAACAAGGCATACATCTAAAGGCCAGGGTGTAATCACATAAACATTAAATAAACATAATAATAATAATAATAATACATTTATGACACTAATAATAATAATAATAATAATTATTATTATTAATACAATGTATTTGTATTAGGGCTGTCAAATGATTAATCACGATTAATCACATCCAAAATAAAAGTTTTTTTACATAATATATGTGGGTGCACTGTGTATAATTGTTTTGTATATATATATAAATACACACACATGCATGTATATTTAAGAATTTTTTTTTATTTATATATAAAATATTTATATTTATATATAATATGAATTATATATAAATCTATATACAGTATATACATGAAAATATTTCTTAAATATATACAAGCATGTGTGTGTATTTATATATATAAAATAATTATACACAGTGCACCCACATATATTATGTAAAAAAAACTTTTATTTTGGATATGATTAATCACGATTAATCATTTGACAGCCCTAATTTGTATAAAATACATTTGTAAAAAATAAAAAATAACACATTATTATTATTATATTTTAAAATCATCAGAAACTGTAATTTTCTCTCCATCTATTTATCAAAGAATTCAGCTATTTATTTAAGAACAAGAAGAAAAAAAAATAAAACCCAAAACAACATCATTACCTGGGTACCCCAACAAACCACATACTTCAGAGAGTTATCTCATGTTTCTCAGAAGAATTAAAGCATATCTATGTTGTGGTATCGTATCGCCAGCATTCTGTCAACAATACACAGAACTAGTAGAGATAAGACAACATAAAAAGCCATTACACACCAACAGTTAAATACTGCTTCATTGTAAGCATTCCTATTATTAAAAATAATAAGTGCCATTTCAGCACTGCCTCCATGGAATACTGGTTAGTTGAGCATCACTGTTGTTAAGCACTGCTACTAAGAGAGAAAAATGTCAAGTACTACACTATTAAAGAGAGGAGAACCCCCCCCCTGCTAAACAGGAATATGTGCTTCCTACCTTCCACCTTGGCATATTCTGAGAGACGTTGGTAGTTCACTAAAGCTGCCTGCTCCAGACATTTACGGATCACTGCCTTCACCTCGTCCTGAGGTACAGGTGTCACAATGTCCTTCATTAAGACCTGCAAAACCACATTACAAATCAATTGCATTCGCTTTTGCTTCTAAGTCTGTTTTTACTTTGTGTCATACGCTTTTTCAATACATATACATACAAAATGACAACATTTGGCATTTATTTGGTGTAAAACGGAGCGGAAGATAAAAATGGCACCACACCCTCTCAAGCAGAGACAACGTGGCTTTTAAGGCTCCTTCTGGGCGTCCAAATGGAAAGCAATACCTTCAGAGAGAAAATTTAACAGACAGTGTTTAAAACCGCTTTGAACCATTTAGAAATAAGACATTACTATTCCCATTTTAAATTTTTTTGAAATAAATAAGAATATCCGGTTTCATCAATGTGATAGCTTAGGCCACACTTTCTATTTTTTTTAGGAGAAATTGATATTTCATTTGTTTTGAGGGATTAATGTTTATTGTCTGTTTGTTTATTAATTTGTGTTTATTTATTTAGTTTAATTAATGTTATTTACACAAATATTTGTATTAGAGGTGGTATGTTGTCTCTTTATGCGTGCATTAAAGATAATTCGTTACTAGAATGCACGCAAGTAATTGAATTTGAAACAACAATTAGACAGAGATTGGGGTTAAACATTTTTTATTTAATTTTGTTTTGAATTATTTCATATCTTCCCATGGTTCCGAGGTTCAGAGGCCTGTTATTATCAGCATTTCCTGATGTCCTTTATATATTTTGCCGGGAATTATGGAAAATGTAGGTTTTGGGACAATGTTTGTTTGGGTCGTTTGTTAAAGGATTAGTTCACCTCAAAATGAAAATTTCCTGATAATTTACTCACCCCAATGCCATGCAAGATGTTCATGTCTTTTTTTCTTCAGTGGAAAATAAATTAAGTTTTTTGAGGAAAACATTTCAGGATTTTTCTTTAAACAGTTTTTTAAACATCCAGGATATGCACACAAAAAGGACCATTTTAAACAATAAACTGACACAAATACATAAATATGTCATTCAACATACAATCAAATTTGAACGATCCTCCTTCTCCACGCTTGTAAACAATGGGGCGGTACTTCCGCCTACGTGACCTTTTCAACGTGATTACGTAATGCCTGGCGCGTCGCAGACCAGCGCAAGACGAACAATTGTGGTTAAAAAGTATATACATTTTAATATTTTTTTATAAAATGACAGATCATTTCGCTAGATAAGACTCTATTCCTCAGCTGGGATCGTGCAGAGCCCTTTAAAGCACTTCAAAGCCCTTTGAAACTACAGTGATTTGGACTTCAACAATTTGGTTACCGTTGAAGTTCATTGTGTGGAGAGAAATCCTGAAATGTTTGAGGTGAACTAATCCTTTAATTTGAATGTGTTGTGTATTAAGTACATTTTTGTGCGTTTAAATTTATTTTCATTATTGCTTTATGGTGAATGTGATTTCATATGTTTATGTTTATAGAGTTATGCTGCCCTTGTTATTATAAAATGGTTTGCTCTGTTTCGTTAAAAGGACTCAATATTCTGTGGCTGTGTTAGTTCTGATGAGGGATCCCAAACATCTGAAACCCAGAACTCAGTAATTTGCTGGTTTCACATTTATTAGTTTCTTCTTTTTTTTTTTTTTTTTTTTTTTTTTTTTTTTTGCACCGTTCGTGATCAGTACATTAAAATACATTTTTGCAGTCAATAAAACAAGATTTTGATGGCTTAAAGGGGTCATATAATGCCATTTTTGTACAAGCTAATATGATTCTTTAGGGTCTAAATTAAAAGTTTGTAATATACTTTAATTAAAAATTCTCATTAGTATTGTAAGAAAACAGTTATTTTACCTGGTCAAAAACAGCTCTGTTTTCAGCACGCCGTTTCAGTGCATATGCCTTTAAATGATCATGAGCTGCGCTCACCCCGCCCCTCTGTGCTGTGCATACACCGTTTGTAACACACCATAACGCGTTGTTCAGCGTGGAATTATGAATTATATTGAGAACGTCATACATAGAAAACATGCCGTAATGTACCCTGACTGAGTGTAAACCTTAGACGCATTCATTGTGAAGCGTGCAGCTAGCGATTTGCAAAGATTAATATATTAATATAAAAGTTTAATAAAACGTTTCACTCACTTCCGTTCTTCTAGAGGTTCAGCAGGAACACGAATATCTGGTACCGATCCTTTATAGCAAAGCTTCTTAGCAAATCCAGCTTTATACTGATCCTCGTTTATAAAGCAGTCTGGTGTGTGAAATGATTCGCGCAAACATGAAAGCATTGTTGCTCGTGGGGAATATTCCCTTCGAAAACAAAACTCAGCCACTGCGTCTTCAGCGGTTCGGATTTAGGAACATTAAAATGACTGCTGTGTTCGTTATTACACCCAAGAACAGAACACCACAATCGCTTAGACGCCATTCTGCTCATAGACAGCTCCAGCATATCAACAATGACCGCGCCGGTCCGGTCCGCGCCGCGCAGACTATGATTGACAGCTACCTCATGTGCGAGGGCGGGTCTGTGTTGAAACGCTCCCGTCAATCAACAATCGTGGGAGGGGCGTCCGTTTTATTGACGTCACAGGCTCAAACGGCTCGATTTGAAGCAGGGGAAAACATATAAGGAGATTAAAACAAAACCACTGGATGGATTTTTATCATTATATGATGTTTGTGTACAGGCACTGCCAACACACATTTCAGTACAATCAACTTGTAAAACTGCATGTACCATTATATGACCCCTTTAAAGAATGTCTCTTGAAATTTTGTGGAAGAACCCTTACAATCAAGATATCCAGTCATCACACAGCCAGATTCACATTTACATTACATGAACATTTATGCATTTAGCAGTTTCACACTACTGTGAAAATTAAACGCATATATAGGTCTATGTACTTATATATATATATATATATATATAAACACATATTCACACACCACATATTCAATTATTATCTCTAGCTGTTAATAAGGTGGTATTATATGATGCTGTGCAGACTGACAGTAATGTACCTGAAGTGTGTGATCTGGTTTTCCAGCAGCACGCGCAGTCGTTCTTTGATCTCCTCGAAATGTTCCTTCTCTTCTACTGAGACAGTACCGATTCCATCAGGCCTGAGGCAACACACACACACACACACACACACACACACACACACACACACACACACACACACACACACACACACACACACACACAAAAGAGCAGAAATGAATGCCACTGCTTCTCTCATTAGGGTAACAAGGGTCACAGAAACTAACACTGGGTCTCACGAACAGGCCAGACACATGAATATTGTACTAGCACTATAAATAATTTTCCATTTATGGCTGCCGTGCTGTTCAGAATATATGTGTTAGTGAGAGATTCAGACAAGCTGCTCACCTCTTTAATTAACCACACAGATTACTACAGAAATAATACATAAAAAAAACAGAGAGAGAATAAGACTATTTTAAACTTCTGAAAAAGCCCCAGCTTTTTATTTGGGTGTATTTGCATGTGCATAGGTGTTCATTTGTGCAAGTTATTTCACTTTTGCATGCACTTGAGAGCAAACACCTTATTCACCAAACACCAACAATCTAGTTTAACCATGTACTATCTACTATGACTGAAATAGTACTGTGCCATGTGTATGTAAATTAAGTCATAGTGCTATTTGCATAGTGCAATTATTATTATCCACAGAAAACAAGCCAAAAAAAAAAAACACAAAAGAGACAATAGGGGATATTTTTTAGTGATCACTGCCCAGAATCGGTCTGTAAGATGTGCAAAACCATCGTGCATTGCAAACCAGATGCTTAAACAACGTACTGTAGTGTGTTCAAATAAACGATGCTGTCAGTGGGTGCAATCCCTAGTGTGTATGCCTAAATGTGTATCTGTGTGTCATCTCCTCCTCAGGCAAGGCTTTTTGGAAGGGCCTAAACTCAGTCCCCCTCCCTGTCGTGTCCATGTTCATATAAAGAGTCCTCCGAAATACAAAGACATTGGCGAGGATTACCACAGCCCACTGCTACCAGCACTCAGGTCTTCAACCACTCATCACATACACACTCACAGGTTTATTATTGTGACTCTATAACACAGAAAGAGAGAGAGAGAGAGAGAGAGGCTGTGCGAAACGGTTCACCTGATACGTCAGTGCCACTCCTAAACTTATTAGCCAAATTACCATGATGCCAATCATCACTTATGTTTTCAAAAACTGAAATGAAAACACTTATTTTACCATGCTGATGTTCATGCAATTGATCTCTAGATTTAAGAATCATACAAGACATGTAAACCTCTCACTGTCTCACACATCTAACTGACGCATACGACAACGGAAGCTTTTAAGGTATTTTTGAGAACAAGAAGAGGCGACCCGGTCACCGATCACCCCCCCCACCCCCACACAGAGAGATGGACCCCGTCTGGTGGTCCCCTCTGAAATCCCTGCCCCCCACACTCTTACTTTTTCCCCGCTGTCCTTCAGCGTGCGCTGGGCTGACATGGGGAGTGGACTGATGAGGAGTGTGTCATGTCTCCTGCTCCTCAAACCGCTGTCACTGCGACCCGTGCCTCCACTGTCACATACACTCTGCTCACAGCCCTCCTTCCGTCTACCATGTCACAAACGATAAGGAGCCGGGCCCTTTGGTAACATTCTGCATGAGCGTGTGTGTGTGTGTGTGTGTGTTAAACTGCGTGCAGGTGACATACGTCGGCTGTGAGTGTGTTTCTGTTCTAGCTGTGTGTCACAACAAAACTGATTGATAAAAGACGGACCAGCAGGGGAAAAAAAACTTCTCTCTGTGTCAAAAAAGGAAAATAAAACACAGAAACCACAAAAACAAAACTACAAAAAAACAAAACAGAAAAACCACACAAAACAAAATACAAAACCACGACAAAAAAACAAAACACAAAACAAAATAATACTACAAACACAAAAAACTTCAAAAAACAACAACAACAAAAAACATAAAACCGAGCTAAAAAATTAAACAAAACACAAAACTACAAAAACAAACCAACAACAAAACAATTCCTTTTATCCACTTACAAAAAAAAATAGTATTACCATGTTTTTTGGACATTGGACCATGGTATTTTTATTATTATTATTGCACATGTACCATCCATGGTAATATCCTGATATTCTTTAAAGCACTTTAAACTATTGTGATAGATTATTATGTCAATCATGCAATACCAAGATATCTAAAATGCCATTGTATTACAATTACTGTACACTTTTAAGGTGTTGTGATAAGCAATTGAACAAGAGCATTTATGCCATTTCATATCCTTCTAAAAACACTACATGATATCATCATGCATATTCATAATAGTGTGCTATTAGACTAATAAGGTTATCCAGATAATGATATATGATAATGGTGCAGTAGTATCTTGTCAAACAACATTAGAGATCCATAATCACCATCTGTAACACTTGTAGATTATTTGGCTTCAAATATATATCAGAAAAGGAATTCAATGCCAAGAGGTTCAGGTTGTGGGTCATGTCAGTTCTAAAGAGTGTGGTTGGCTGGACGTCAGGTTTTGGCACAAGCAGACAGGCTGGAGTGAGGCCTTGGACAGTTTGGAAAGAGAGATGGCGAGACCTGTCATCCTGTCAGCCATGACCTTAAGGCACTATCCATAGTGTCCCTCATCTCTCTCTCTTTACCCTGCATGTATCTCACTGGTTCGACACATGTCTATCACATTCTGTTTCCCTGCCTCACCCTTACTTTTCTCTCTCTCCTTCATACAGTTACAAATTCACACATATGGTGGTGTCCAAAAGTCTGAGACCAGCCGTTGTTCTTAGAAAATCATTTCTAGAAAGTCAATAAATACTAAAACAATTCTGAAATTTGATTAAATTATATATAAAAAAATACGTATATATATATTTTATCAAATTTCAGAATTGTTTTAGTATTTATTGATTAAAACAATTCTGAAATTTGATAAAAAATAATATATAAAATAATACAACAATATATACACACACATACATATAAATATATACATATATATATATACATATATATGCACACACAATAACATGTAAAAAAAAAAAAAAAAATAGACTGTATATAAAGCTGCTACTTTGTACTTTCACAAAAAAGGAATACGAATAAAATGACACACAATAGAACAACTATTCTCACACACAGAAGAAAGAAGAAATAACTTATTTGCCCCCTTCCCTCACTTCCCATCCCCCAGTTTCATATGTTGAGGGCGGGGCTTAACGCTAATCCACACCCAAAAGAGTGGGTTGCATTTACATTCTCACCTTTTGGAGCCTGTGAGCACCTGCGACTTAGACTCCCTTTTTCTCCAGACCTCCATGATTTTGTTCTCTTTCTTAGAGGGGGTCAAGGGCTCAGGGGGGGAGGGAAACAGAGAACTAAGCAGCTCGGTCTCTGACACGGGCCATTTTAGTAACTCAATCACTCTTTGGCTTCATATCCCAACACACACACACACACAGACATTGACAAAGGTGCACATTCACAAAGGTTATCAGAAGATGGTATGTGGGTACATGAGAAATAAAAGAAGAAGAGAAATAACATGAATCATGCATGCAAATAATAATAATAAAAATAAATGCAAAAAATATAAAAACGGTAATTAGCTAAATATATATATATATATATATATCTTTATAATTATTGATTTTTTTGTTAAATAAATCACATAATTAAATATTTAATAATTATGTTTAACATTTTTAAATATGAAAATATATTTGTTTTATATATTGTAAATATATTTGTGTCTCAAATAAAAATAATTGAAATAATACTGAAAAACAAAATAACCACACACTGAAATCTTGTTAGAAGGGTAGTTTTGAGGAATCCTGTGAACCAGGTAATGAGGCAACTTGAGCTTTTTTGTAAAAGCATTGAAACGACTGTGGGATTCTGGGAGAGAAGCATTATTACCTGTGACCAACCACAAGCTATGACGAGAGGAGATGGGGTTTCTATGAAACACTTTGACAGCCAAAAAGAAAAAAGAAAAAAATAGTTTGCGCTCTTGGTCTTAAGTTACCTCTGTTTCTGCCCATGTGTGGACAGTGGATGTACAGACAGATAAAAGGGCAGGACGGTGAAAAGCGATGGAGTGATTTTAGGAGGGAGAGAATAGACAGAACTTCAGGTGAGAGTAGGATGAACGACAGAAAGAGAACATGAGAGATAAATGGTTTGAGAATTAATGTGGCTACAAATGAGAATGAAATGAAGTGGGTGTTAAGAAAGGAGTGAGAAATAGATAAAGAGTGTGAGACCGGCGCTACCTGTTGCCATGTACGTGAGAGGCGCAGAAGGCAAAGCTGTAGTGGAGTAGTGTGGGGTCGATCATGGAGCCTTTCTCTGCCCTCTCCAGCAGGTCACTCAGGTAACACAGGTGCCTGTGACACCCCCGCACCCCGTACCTGGCGCAGTACTCATCTAACACAAACACCTGGCCTGGACTGAACCAACCCTGAGGCACAAAACCAGACACAAAAGGGGGGAGGTTAGTAGTGTAAAAAGAGTAATACATGATAATACAAATAGGACTGCTGAAGCTCTAACTGAATTGAAAGCTCAGTTACCAAGCAGGAGTATGAATCGTTGAGTCTGTGGTCCAGAGTCAACCGCTGAACCATCTCAAACAGCGAAGAGTGGTCAAAATTGCAGGGGTTAGCGGAGATGAACTCGTCCATTCCATGTTTCTGTGCTCGGTCTGCATCTGTGTGTATGTGTGCATGTTAACGTATGGAGACAGAGACAGGCTTTACAAAGCATACACATCTCAGTGTCGCAGGAGGACACACTCCTTATAAAGGGAGATCTCTAAGCTGAGCCAGATATCAGGCTCAAAAGTGTCAGTGTAAAGTCAATCCAAGGTGCATTACAAGCAATGCTAGAAGTGCAAAATCAAAGTCAGAGCAGGTGCTCATGTTTAGAGGCATCTTTCAACACAAAGAAAATTTGATATTATTTGTGTTAACTCTATAGGCCTATATATTTGCTTGCTGAGGGAAACACTGATCTGGTTACAAGTTTCTGGACCATGAGGGATGGTAATAAAAAGCTACTTTAAGTACATTTTGCATACTTAATTAATTATATATTTAATTATATATTATATATTACTTAATTACGTAATTCTATATTTTAAAAGAAAAAGGTACATTTAGTTCCACATTTCAACACAAAGAAAAAAATGATCATTTTAACTCTATAACAACAGCACCATGACACTTTTTTCATTTTTTGACAGCCTTATATTGAGAGGGAAATAATTAACTGTTTATAAGTTACTGGACTACAGTGAGCAATTATGATAAAATGAGCAATTTTAATTAATTACCTATATTTTGACTTAGAATATTTGTTTTAAATATGTTTTTTCTTCTGCATGTTTGCCGAACTTTTGATGGACACTGATCTAATTTTACCCCTAAACGTCAAGTAAAAACAGAGAAGGAGAGATTGGTGGTTCAACAGGACAATCAGGCAATATTAACAAAAACTTTTGACTTACATGACTAAAATAACTAGTCTAGTAAGAGCAACAGGGCAGAATTGCTTGTTGATTTCAAGCATTGATTGTATGCAATATATTTGTAAAATCCAGTTTCTACATGCGTACATATCCTTTCATTCTATACGAATGCATGGGGAATCCTTGAGCAAGCTATTGGGATGGCTTATTTAACCTTTTTAATTAATAAACGATCAATTCAACTGCCAAATCGCATCAAACTATATGCCAACATCATTATATTATTGGCTTGTATTTCCCCCAAGTATTTTTTTCTTATTTGGCTTGGTAATCCTGCAGGACCTGTCTGAGCCAGTGTTCCTAAGCAAACAACAACTCTAGGTTGACGCTTTCCCCTCCCTCTCCATTCATTGCTCTGTCCGCAGGCCTCTGCCCCCCCTCGGGGCAGCCCTAATTAAAGAAACCCAGGGCCTCTAAACCCCCCTACCCTCACCATCTATTGTCCATTAAAGAGACTAAATAAATTCAACAACACATTTTCGCTTTCCTCTGCAGTCGGTAAGCTTAGGTATTACATCTGGGCCTGCACAAATAAGCAGGGCCGTTTCTTAATCCTGCCACTGGTCAGGGGCTATTCTTATTCTAATACCCCGTTTCTGCCAGAGGCTTTAGAGCTTCACTGTATGATTGAGCCATTCAACAGACACCTCCTTCAGAGCATCGCTGGTTTACATGTTAAATCAAGAACAAGACTTGCTAAGAATGATTGCTTAGCTATATAATAGAGGATAAGATGTATTTTTCCTTGCATGATATAGGCCTACAGTATATGCATTCCAAATTTGGCTTAACTTATTGTTTATATGTAGAATAATTTTGGTATAGCCCTTACAATATCTTTCATTAATAACCTTAAATGGATAGTCCACCCAAAAATTAAAAGGTTACACTTTATTTTTTCAAAAATGAAGAAAGAAATGCATACATGTTTGGAACATGAGGGTGTTTAAATAACGAATATTTTCCTTTTTGAGTGGGCTATTCCTTTATCATATAATATGGTGTCTATCAGTTCAGTAGAGGGAAATTTTAATTACATTTTGCTTTATATTTTATTACATAAAATGGAGCAGAAAAGTACTGAAAATCTGCGATTTAATTATTATTTTAAATGTTAAAATGTATTTAAAATTATGTTAAAAAAGAGAGATAGAGATAAATGTGAATACAGTAAATAATAAATAAAATATATTATATAAATATAATAAAACAATCGTAATGAAAAATTTACAATAAAATCATTTTCACAGGTCTAAAAAAAATTTAGACCCCATTGTATTCATATTTGAATGTTCATGAACTACTGATCTGTTAAGCATTTTATAATATTAAAGACTAATGAAAGTTACTATAATATGCTGCCGACATGTTTTATGATATTTATTTCATATGTAAAATGATTGATATTCTTCCACAACTTATCTCCATCTGTCAGAGCCCCGCTCTGGGCAATTACAATAAGGAGAAATAATATTGTTTTTATTTATTATTATTATTATTATTTCACTCTAATGCTAAAACTCTTGCTTTATAAATTAAAATAAAATGTAAAATATCATCACTGTCGGGCAGAAACCTTGTATCTATTTTTTTTTTTTCTATAAATCTATACTATTGGTCACCCTTTACATCTGTCTGTGGGTTTTGCAAATATTAAACCTATGAAAAGTATTAAAAAGAGCCAAACCTCGTAACTCCATTGGCTCCTCAAACTGTCTGTCAAACCTCATAACTCCACCCTGCCTCTATCGTGAATGAAGTGTCACACACAGTTTGGACAATCTCTGCTTGTTTGCAATGCAAAGGTGAATAAAGAACTGATTGTTTGAATAATGCAGTGTTTTCATTACTCAAGAAACAATATATAAAGGCTAATGCTTATGTATCCGAGAAGCGGAGAAGAGTGTCTTAGGCAAGCATTTGCCATCGAGTCATGGCCAATTCTGTCTTAAATAGCCTATGCATAAATCTTTTTATAACGTGAGATTCACAGAATCTCAAATAACAGAAAAAATATGCCCCCATAGCTACAGCTACAATAAAATTCATTACTCAATATAATGCGAAGCACTTACAGCCGCGGATACGGCCCAAAAAACTTCTTTAGCCTATTTCACAATATGAGGTAAATCCGGCTCTGCCATCTGTGTTGCATTTTTGTCTGTCCATGGCATTATAAGATATCCATACACGTAAATTGAAGCCAAATGAACCACTGAAATCAGCCACAGGTCAAAAAGGTGACATCGTGTCACTCTCCTATGTCTTAATATGAGCTTGTCATATCTCTTTGACACTGGAATTGAGGGGAAGGTCTCTGGACAGTAACGCACAATGACATTAGTCGGCTCTGTCCGAGCGGGGCACAGGAGAAATGACACTGATTGATGGATTCTTTTCATTTATAGATCTCCTCTCATGGAGAGTCCGAAGAGCAGAGCATTTGGGGCTATTTAGCGCTTGCATTTTTTATTTATTTTTATTTTTTTGGGTTCTGTGTGTGTGCCTGTACAAACACACACAATGGACGGATTGGGAGTCTGAGATTCGGCCCTGGGCTGACAAGAGCTGAAGGGGCCAACTGACAGGACTGGCATTTCTCTGTGAGTGAGGAATGGACAGAGGGAGAAAAGGAAGAGAAGGGATGCAGAAAGGGGTGACAGCAGAGACATACTTTATTAAGTGGTTTCTAATTTAATCTGCTCCTGAACTTGATTTCCAACAATATGGCCAACCTCATAAGGCCTGCAGACAAGTCCATTCGTGAGCCTCTCTCAGAGCCCGGCGCTATTTCAGTCCTTATCACACTGGATTAGAAAAGCCTGGACTCTGGCTGACATCCAACATCAATCCCTGTTTTCTTTGTTTTAGAATAATGAAGCAGTGAATGAGTTGAAAGATGAAACATTATTATTAACAATACTTTTTTATTTCTATTTAATTATTAGGGGGATGAGATTGTGTTGCAGGTCAGGTTCCAACCTATATTATCTGTATTGCTGTTATTGATGTTGTTAAATGATACAACTTGAGGCTTTATACACTGGGTGTAATGCATAGTTAAATAATAATAATAAAAACAATGAAAAATACTAAATCATAATATTAATGATGATGATGATGATGAAGATAAACCAGTGGATTTATTATTATTGTTACAGTTATTGTTGTTGTTGTTAAATGATACACCTTGAGGCTTTCTACACTGGGTGTAAGCCATGGTTAAAATAATAATAATAATACAAATAATAATAATAAATAATAGAAGTAATAATTATGGATGAACAAACAATACCCAAATCATGATAAAATAAAATAAAATAAAATACCAGTGCATTCATTTATTATTATTGTTGTTGTTGTTGTTGTTGTCAAATGATATACCTCGAAGCCATGGATAAAATAGTAATAATAATAATAATGGTAACTTGGTCAGAAGAATGAAACAAACAATACCCAAATCATAATAAAATAAAATAAAATAAAATAAAATAAAATAAAATAAAATAAAATAAAATAAAATAAAATAAAATAAAATAAAATAAAATAAAATAAAATAAAATAAAATAAAATAATACCCACTGGTGCATTAATTTATTATTACTATTATTATGATTATTAAAAGACCTCTGTATTCTCAAAGTATCACTGATTTTAGGTTGTGTCTCCCCCTAAATCTCCCTTTGCATGGATTTAACAAACAGCAGACAAGAGAAGGAGTTTTAGCATTTTTCCAGGTGAAGAAAGAAACGGTTAGTCTGAAACTGTTAGTAGTTCTACAGGCAAACAAAACAGAAACACTACTAAGACATGAAAAGGGCCACTATTTGTTAAATGTGTCCGTATACGTGTGTGGCAAAAGAGATTGTCTAGATGTAGCAGTTGTGGCAAATTTGTGTCAGTTTATCATTCAATAAAGACTCTATAAAATCACCAGCTGATCATTTCTACATTCAAGCTACATATTTGCCAACTCTCCTTTCTTTCTAAATACATTCGTAAAAATCACAGAATTAATCAATTGTGCGAGTCCACTGCTTCAAGGACAACACAAAATTTTTTAGAGACCATTTGAGAACAAACAGCCAATGTTTCCGATTGCATCCTAATCCCTCACATTTAAAACAGCAACCACAACAATTTAATTTGAAGCTGTCGTAAGGTTAAGAGAAAAAAACCCGAAAACACTGGTGGCACTACTTTCTACAGATGAGAGAAGCTGGTGTGAACTAGCAAGTAGTTATTTGGTAACATTCCACTGATAGCTTCCAGAAATAATCAGGGTGAAGATGCACTGTTTTATTCATAGCGTGTCACTCTTAACATGGTAATTACCAGTTGCTGAGGGGTGCAGAGCACGCCAGTGGTTTCACACAATTCATTTAGTGCAATAAATCAACAACTACAATAGAGAAAATCACTATAATTATATCATTTACCAAATTCTCCATTTGGTCGGAAATCTTTATTGTTAAATAAAGGCAACTGCTGTGGATTTCACCCAACAATAAACTACAAGGAACAGATGGATTTGATTTTGCACATGCTTTTTTTATGTGAAACTCTGCTTTGATTTGAGGAGCCGTTGACTCAAGGAAGCCATGTTGAGAGAAGGCAAATATGCAACTGCTAATCCGAGCAATTTCAGAAAGAAAATTTCACATGCAGTCTAGTCTTTTTAAATAAAAGTGCGTTTGAATTTGAGACCTAATGAAGTCAAATGGAGGGAGATTTGAGGAAGGAAACAGGAAGAGGAGGAGTAATGTGAGTTTTGGAAGAGGAATAGCGAAGAGCACATTGCTTGTGTCAGATAATCCGGGTTGGTTTATCTGATCTGTGCCTGCTACAGGGAAGCACTTACCCTTCAGTCCGGCTACGAGAGAGCAGGGTAAGAGGGAACACACCAGAGTGACATATAGAGACTCGCATGAAGCAGCAGAGAGAGAGAGAGAGAGAATATTCCCTATACACAGGGTACACTGAGCAAAGCATGAGAGAAGGAGGATCTGACACACGTATTCATACACACAGAGATGATTACCTGAAAAGGGGAGAAAAAGCATGAGATTATCTTTTTTTCTGTCAGAAAGAAAGAAAGATCAAGTGTACAAGCGAAAGATGGCAAATATGCAAAAGAACAGCGAAATAAAGAAAGAAAGAAAGAAAGAAAGAAAGAAAGATCAAATGTACAAGCCAAAGAGGGCAAATATGCGAAAGAAAGAAAGAAAGAAAGAAAGAAAGAAAGAAAGAAAGAAAGAAAGAAAGAAAGAAAGAAAGAAAGAAAGAAAGAAAGAAAGAAAGAAAGAAAGAAAGAAAGAAAGAAAGATCAAATGTCAAAGAGGGCAAATATGCAAAGGAACAGCGAAAAAAAGAAGGCAAGAAAGAAAGGAAAAAGAAAGAAATTTGTACATTTGATCTTTCTTTCTGTTTTTCTTTCTGAACGAGGGCAAATATGCAAAAGAAAAGTGAAAGAAAGAAAGAAAGAAAGAAAGAAAGAAAGAAAGAAAGAAAGAAAGAAAGAAAGAAAGAAAGAAAGAAAGAAAGAAAGAAAGAAAGAAAGAAAGAAAGAAAGAAATGTGTACATTAATGATCTTTCTTTCTGTTTTTCTTTCTGAATGAGAGAAAATATCCAAAAGAAGAGTGAGTGAAAGAAAGAGCGAAAGAAAAAGAAAGAAATTGGTACTAAAGAAAGATCAAATGTACAAGCGAATGAGGGCAAATATGCAAAAGCACAGCAAAAGAAAGAAAGAAAGAAAGAAAGAAAGAAAGAAAGAAAGAAAGAAAGAAAGAAAGAAAGAAAGAAAGAAAGAAAGAAAGAAAGAAAGATGTACAAGCCAAAGAGGGCAAATATGCAAAAGAACAGCAAAAAAAAGAAAGCAAGAAAGAAAAAAAAGAAAAAAAGAAAGCAATTTGTACATTTGATCTTTCTGTCTGTCTTTCTTTTAGAACGAGGGCAAATATGCAAAAGAAAAATGAAACAAAGAGCGAAAGAAAGAAAGATCAAATGTACAAGCAAATGAGGGCAAATATGCAAAAGAAAAGTGCAAAAAGTTTAAAATGCAAAAAGGAAAGCAAAATGTAGTGAAAGAAAAGTGCAAAAAGAAAGAGAAACAATTGAATAAAAGAAATAAAGAAATAAATAATAAATCAATCAAAAGAGGAATAAAAAAACAAAGATGGCTGATTAAAATGATCCATAGCAAAGAACATGTAATGCTGAAATGTGAGTGGGATGCAAGACGAAGGATGAAAACAGAGAGTGAGATTTCTCTCTTTCACAACACCAGCACAGTTACTCTGCACACCACATTCATGAGCAGCAGAGTGCAACAGTGTAAAAACATCAACAACGGGAACTTATTCAACACATGCTAAAGAAACATTTCATGTGTGTGTGTGACTGCTGTGAAGAGTGTCATTATACCTGTATGTGTGTGTGTGTGTGTGCCTGCAGTCAGCATGTGTGTATCCGTAGAATCTGCATATTCATACTTACAGAACTGAGAGATGGGAGCATCAAGCTGTGGTGCTGTCCCTCCTTTGGCGTTGAGTTTCTGCACCTGGGTCGGGGGGATGGGTTTGTGGGACTGGCCCGTGGCACGATACATGGCCTGAACCCACAGGATTCGGTCTTGCTCATCATCACTGGCAAAGATCACAGTGTCTCCCTCCTTCACAGCGTTGAAGAACGTCCGACCTCCATCCAGACCTGGATTCAACATAGTGTTCATCGGTTTTACTTTAAACGGAAGGAAATAATCAAAAGTGCACGTGAAAGTTATGCAGTTCTGTTGCAGAAGTTGAGCTAACAATACTTTTCACTTTACTAATTTTGGCTAAAGTTATATTCTACATATAATAATACATTTAATGTTTACTGTGGATTTAGAACAGGCCGGATTTTACCCTGGGTTTCCAATTTGGGAGCAACACATATAATGCAAGTAAATATTTGACATTAATGTTAATGCATTATGCACTAAGATTAACTAACAGTAAATAATGGTATGTTTATAGGCTAAAATTAATCTTGATGAATAAATATTCATCAAGATTATAATCATTTGAATTATTATTATTATTATTATTATTATTATTAATCAAGATTAATAAATGCTGTAAAAAATATTGTTAATTATTAGTTGCATATACCAGCCAATACTTGAACTATATTGAATAATGTTTAAAATCATATCACATATTTTTAAAAAGACATTAATACTATATATGTGTATTAATCAAGATGAATAAATATTAATTAAAATAATTATATAAAATATAAGTTATTACCAATAATAATAATAAATCATATTAACAAATTTGATTAAATGCCGTAAATAAATACAGCTAATTATTAGTTGCATATTAACAAATAGAATTTGCAACCTAATGTAGTAAGAAATCATTAAAAATTATATTTTAATTGACATTAATGTTAATGCATTATGAACTGGGATGAACTAACAGTGTATAATTGTATATTTCTAAACTAAAATGAATCAAAATGATATATTTATTAATCAAGGTGAATAAACATTCACCAAGATTATAATAATATTAATTATTATAAATCAAGCTTGCTGTAAAAAATATTGTTAATTATTAGTTGCATGACAGCCAATACTTTAATATTAATGTTTAAAATCTTATTGTAAAAACACACCAATTAATTTTATTGGTTTAACCTATGTAGTAAGGTTGATTCAGTCATATTAAAAAATATATTTTGCTTGATTTATCATTTGCTATAAACATGGCAACCTGAATAAAAATTTGTTGGTTACCTCACAAAACACGCTTTACAGAGTAATTTACTTAAATTGACAGAAATTGTTTGATAATTGTTATCATTTAAACCATTATGTGACAGTATTCAGTACACAGTGCTTGATTATGCTTAAACTATCAAAATATCAGACAGCATCAAAACGATAAAACACTACAAGCTTCACTCTAATGATCAATATTAGATTCAGCTTTTCATGTACACTGTGCATTGTTTTATGCAAGGATACAGAAGGTTTCAATGAAAGATAATTGATCCTAACTAGTCAATTACCTGTGTTTGTTTAACACTAATAAAATGAGTCATCTTTTCCTCAGGAATAGATGTGTATAGAGATGTGTAGAAACACATGCCACCTGCTGGTCTAACAGGTACTTCTACACACCTTATTTTGCAATGCGGAAATAAGCTATTTTCTGTGAACGTGAAAGACTTCTGATTCATTAGCCGCTATAGGGAAATAACTAGAAATAATAACAATGTGCAGTAAACAGTCAAACTAGTTGCGCTACAAACCAGTGTGTTATTGATTATAATAAATACAAATATTATGATAAATACCAGTTTAAAATATCGAGTTTTTGTACAGCTAAAATAACCGGAAGCCTGCTCTTACGTTACAAATAAAGTGGATATGTAGAACAGGTGAGGACTATATTTCAGTTAATTTTTTCACTGTGATGTCATTGATTGTGTCAATCTGATTGGCTGTGGTGACCTGGCTGAGGGTCGGTGTAATCCACAGTGTATCCATCCAGTTGGAGAAGTTCAACAGGTTCTGCTTTCTTCTCTCTGTAGCTACACATGGCAAAGGTGTATTGGCTCACCTGGAAAGAATTTTGGCACATTAAAAATACATACTTTCAATTATATGGATTTTCTGTGCTGCTTTTAAGATGATATACAGGTGAGGTAGGTGATATGTTTGGTGGTATGGTTATACTTTTTTTTTTTTTTATATATAAGTACAAACATGTACAGTCAAACCAAAATGTATTCAGACACCTTCAACGTTTCTCACATTATCACAGCTTATTCGCTATAGCTTAGAAAATGGTTATAAAATATGACAAGAACTGTCATATAATCAGTTTATATTTCACTGGTTTTGGCCATCCTTCTGTTAGACTGTCACAAAAATGAATTAAATTTAACAGCTGACAGCTATTCAACACAAAAGGTAGTATTAGCCATTAAAGAAAAAACACTTAAGCAAAACATGGTCAGGTCAAAGTGTCTGAATAATTTTTTTGCCCCAAATTTTTATATATTTTACTGGTAGTCCACTGTATGAAGAATTTTTGGGTATAATATGTCACAGTTTTTTATTTTATTTTGCTATCCACAACTATAGTGTCCTGCACCCACTAGTAAAAAAAAAAAAAGATCCAACATTATATCTGGTGTCTGAATATTTTTTGGTTTGACTGTATGTGCACAATAAATGCGTTGTATCAAATGATTACATTTTAATCATAGTAGTTAAAGACACCTAATATAAAGTGAGACACCTTAACCCACCCTTAAACCCAACCATACCACTAAACCTGTCCCTAACCTTACCCATATCCCACGTCAACAGCAGCAATAAGAGAACACAATAGTACCTAAGAAATGTTTTATTTTTTGTAAGCACATCGTAGTAAAGTGTGACCGAAACATCTACTGCAGTGCAGGCTAGTGATAGGGTTCAAACGGAGGGTGGCATCTCAGAGGGATCTTGTCTTGGTCACTGACTGGGTGGAGTTAGAATTGGGTTTTGTCCTGCCAATCAAACAGAACTGACAGAAGAGTGTGGGATGACACGCTGTCACTCTGGATGTGAGTCGTGCGGTTAGGTGCCAGTCATACACACGTTCTCGCACGCTCTACACACGCAGACGCGCTGCTGTCAAGACGTTCTCCGGCCCCATCCGCAGAATTACACCAATCCAGCGCCTCCGTCACCTCTGCTGAAAGTGGCAGCCTTCTCTCACTCCGACTCCGAGTGACACGATAAATTCAATGTCATGTGTGTGACGGGCACTTGGGCTGGCTTCAGGGCCCCAATCTGGCTTGGTGGCACCCAGGTGCCTTCGGGACGTCACAGGGGCGCACACGCATACACACACACACAACCTCCTATCAATCCACTGAAGTTCGGGCTTGTCAGAAGCCGGAGCGGTCGCTGGTGGGGCCATTGACCCGCTGTCAAACCGACAGTTAAAGGATTTTAAATGACTTTCTGATTACCCCTGCATGCATTTGCTCTTTTTAAATAACCTTGTTTTTGTGGATGGAGAGAGCAGGAGAAAAAACGCTAGTGCGAATCGATCGCGAGATGCAACAGTGGAAATATAAAGCCTGATTCCCCCCGCCACGCACACAACCCGAGCCCCTCCGGGTCACTCGAACGCATTACCATATTCAGACGCGTAAAGGCTGCATGCCTGAGCCAGAGCATCGGAGACGAGATGAGGGGAAAGAGGAAGAGCGCAGAGCGTCTGCCCGCTGTTTTGTCACATCGCCTACCAACCGTAAAATAATTAGACTTCAGTTTGAATCATAATGCTGGCCTTATGCTGTCAACTTACTGAGAGGGCAACACGAGCACTTAGAGGCACAAAGAAAGACGATTTGGTGGCTATGAAAGACTTATGTGGATATCGTCGTTATTTTTATGAAGTTAAGCAACACTGAGGAAATTAAATGGCACGGAGGAGCCTTGGGGAACTCTGTCAGCACCTTTTTGTGACACCTTGTTTCAAAGCCAGCCTGTGTCAAACAGAAGCCCTAAATGGTCTACATGGTGTGGTAATTATTTATGAATAATGCAACAGTGAACTCACACCCGCCGTGTAACACAAACCTCACATTAAATGCAGGGCCAATAAGAATCTGTCAATCAAACACCGGTCACCCAATATAGATAGGACTTGGAGCATAAATTTGTTTTGTGTGTATATATATATATATAGAATTTTTTTTTTTTCAAGAAATTAATACTTTTATTTAGCATCAAAACTTTTATTTTAAAATAAAAAAATTATGTTCTTTTGAATATTCTATTTGTCAAACAATCCAGAGAAAATATATCATGATTTCCACGAAAATATTAACTAAATATAGAGTTTTTATCATTAATAATTTTAAGAAATGTTTCTTGAGCACCAAATCAGCATATTAGAATGATTTCTGACGGATCATGTGACACCGGAAGTAATGATGCTGAAAATTATCTTATCTAACTATCTATAGAATAAATTACATTTTAAAACGTAATAATCATTATCTGACCCTTTGAAATGTATTAGTCGATTTATTCAGGTTAAATAGTATTTTTTTTTTTATAATTTTGAGAGAGAAAAAAAACAGTTTATTTAGATACTTACCGCATGATGTACCTTTTTTTATGTTGACGAAATATACTGTACAGTGTAGGAAATTGCTTTGCAAAAAAATATCTAGGTTTACGGATGTTGGTTGATTTTGGATATTGCATTAATTGGTTTATGAGAGTTTTAAGTATACCATGTGTTTTGCAGGTGAAAAAAAGTAGGTGGAAGAATTTAAAAAAAATGCTTGGCATTTGTTCTGTGTATGTGGCATAAACATTTCATTTATTTCTAAAATCGAAATAAAACATACAAACAAACAAATCTGGAGTTTACATGTGTGTTTATGTTGACATTCACATTTACAAGATGAGGACTAGATGTGTTGACGTTTGTGTGAACGCTTGCACAGGATTTAGCACGAGAACAACATAAAAAACAACAACAAAAAAAGCAGAAAGGAAACAAACAAATAAAAGGTGTGAAAACAAAACACGGACACGAAAAGCGCATTCTGGCATATTTTCTTACCCACACTGACATTCGAAAACACAAACAGGGCATCGTGTTATGTTTTTCGCTTGCATGCAAGCACACAGACACACATGCACGCAAACACTAAGGTAAATAAACAATGTCAGTGTATTGACTGTTGTTTGTCACTTGCTGTAGCCGTAGCTGCGAGCGACTGGTGGGCTTGTGATGTGGGCTCTTTTAGCTGCGAGTGCTGGTCCTTTACTCTGTCAAGCCGCCTGTCAACTTTTAGCTCTCAGACATGTTACAACCCACCACAGAGAAGCTGACTGAACAGCAAACAATGGGGACAGAAATAAAAAAAGGCTCCAGCGAAGTACCTGATGCAGTGCTCGGTCAGAAAGAGCTGAAAAGAGCTCAGAATCTAGTCTACTTCACTGATGCAATTCTGACGCATGCCATTGAAATTGAAATGCACAAGCACTCGATTAAAAAAAAATCCTAATCAGAAGGGAAGGGAAGGAAAGAGTCTCCATTGGAAGTGACACAAATAGGTGAAAAAGCACATACCTGCACCAAGACAAAGAATCTCTTCTTCCATCTTTTCCACAGGTTTTTCCCAATAACCCAAAGGTATCTGTGAAGAGACGCAGAGCAGGTGTTGCATCATAGTGTCAAGATATCATGCTGGATGTGTTGTTCTTAATTTGGCTGATAATGGGCTAGATTTGCCTTTCTCTCTGATTTTCCTTCACAGAATAATTTAAATTTAGTAAATTACAACAGGGATGTTTTTAGATTAGAAATATAGGTTAGAAATATAGTTTTATTGAATAATATTATTTATGTCCACAAAAAAAGAAGTTTCAAACAAAAGTAAAAGACGCAAACATTGCATTGAGAAGACATTAATATGCTATAAACAGACAAAATAGGTGTCTGATTATTGAGGATAAAATAAGATTTTCAAAATAAAATAAAATAATTTAAGCATAGAAAATGCTACAACTATGACACTAAAAATGTGTTAAATAATCAAGGGTGAGCTAGTTCCCTCAGAAAATAAAATAAATATCTGAAATGATTTCCTTAAGTTCGAGTTAAATTTATTTATATAGCGCTTTACACAATAGAAATCGTTTCAAAGCAGCTTTATAGAAAATCATGCTGTTAATGTTTATAATATCTTCATGCCTTATAGTCACATTTAGAAGGTTAGATAATATAGTTTTAGTGACAAAATAAGCAATTAAGCAGTTGAAATATGCTATATAGATTGAATATATTGCCTAACATATACCATACACTCTCAGAAAAAAAGGTACAAAAGCTGTCACTGGGGAAGTACCCTTTCAATAGGTTCACCTTTGTCAATAAAAAAAGAGTGCATATTAAAAGAGTACATATTAGATTATTTTAAAGGGTACCATCCCGCTGCAGCTTTTGTACCATTTTATTCAGAGAGTGTATATATATATGTGTGTGTGTGTGTGTGTGTGTGTGTGTGTGTGTGTGTGTGTGTGTGTGTGTGTGTGTGTGTGTGTGTGTGTGTGTGTGTGTGTGTGTGTGTGTGTGTTATTTTAAAAAAAAGTAATTAAAACAAAGTCAAGCAGTTAAGATTTGTTAACTTTTAATCACTTTACGTGACTGAAGACAAATGTTAAAAAAATAAAAGAACACCTTCTTACCTTCTACATAATGCAAATTTATAGAGGATAACATATTAGCCTTCCTTCAGCTAGTAGTAGAGTGAGTTTTAAGATAAGCACAGAAACAGACATGGATTTTCAGATGTAGGTTTAGTGTCCCCTAAAGGCCAAAACAGTATATTGCACTGATCTGCTCTGGGTACAATAATAACCAACTGCAGAAATGCAGAGCCATACATCACAGCAGTCAGAGGCCAGCAGTCTCAGACCAGTGTTGAGGTGGAGCTTCATATAGAGTATGTTTAGTGGTTGGGTGGGGTTGGGCATTCGTTGAGGTAGGGCTTATAGTTATAGTTAAGGGTTGGTTTAGTGGTTGGGACGGTATACACGATCATCATTTTTTTTCCTCTGATTTGTTTCCTGTTTTCCTCTCTTCTATCATTTTTCCATATGTCTTATTAATATCTTATAAAGAATAAATAGAGGTGTGAATAAACCGATACGGTGATGCAGAACAGTTGCTATGCATAAGGTTTCTGGGAGACAGGTGCACAGAGAGCCATACAGAACACATATGGGCAAGTGTGAGCCTATCAGAAAACAGCCACTGAGCCAAAACCCCTCCTCTATCTCCAAAGATAACAACATAGTCTTGGTAAGAACATCTGAACTGTTCTATGCTTCTGTCTGGAAACAGCATACAATTTTTTGCTTATGTTGTTAAAATATCTAGCTTACGGGACATCCACAATGACTGATGATAATATGATTAAAGGTAGGGTAAGCAATTGCGGAGAGGCTAGCAATAGCAAGCTAGCTTTGAAAGATCCCACCCTCCCTTCAGACCGTCTTCAAAACACATGAACGAGAGATGGTGTTAAACTACCTCATATCTCAAACCACATAACATTACTATAATAATGGACGTAAACAACATATAGAGCTCTTACTTGTACCACCTGACTGCTGAAGATTCATTTCAGAGTTCAAAGTGTTGACATAGAAACGAAAAAATCTGAGAACATGAACAACTCCGGGTGTTTACGTTTTTTTAAAAAGTTTTTTAAAAAGTTTTTTAAGTTCAAGCTCAAAAGAATAAAAAATACATTTAATAAATGAATAATACACTGAAATAAATTAAAGCTGCAGTCCGTAGCTTTTTTTGGGTTAAAAATGATCCAAAATACATATTTGAGAAAATACATAACCAGCCAGTGTTCAAAACTCTCTGCTTGCCTTAGCTCGATTCAAAGCGGTAAGCTTGTAATAATGTTTTTAACTCCAGTGGTACTGGTGGATTTCCGCGGGAGATTCGAGCATGTCTTTGCGTCATTACGTCACATCTGTACACATAAAGAAGAGTCTCGGCTAGTCGGCTATATTGCGTGTGAGGATGTTGGAGGTGGAGATTTATAGCCTTTTCTCACAGCACTTGATATAATTAAACTTATCAATTTGATGGCGGATCCAGAAAGGTTCAAACGACAATCACCAGTGACAACTGGAGACTCAACAGTTGTAAAATGCAAAAGACTTCGGACTGAGAGTTTGGAAAAAGAGACTGCAACCGGACCCATACGAAAACAAGGATACATATCTGAAGGACATTACATGTAGTCACACAATGCTGACGTTGTTAACATTAACAATTTGAGAACAAAGTATAATTTGCACGGTTTTGCGTGATATGATCACTTATAAGCGATTGTTAGATTGAATCAGCGCGATTTACTGCAATGTCGGAACCAGAACAAAGGTGGATGTTTCTTACTAGTTCAGATGACATTTTCCGGTGAAAATTATTATGTTGGTCATACTTCCAAAAAGAATAATCTGTGATTCTGAATGCCAGTATCCACACCGGCGCGGTGACTGACAGCCTCACAGTCTCCTCAAACATTGTGTTCATCCGTGCTGTGCCGTGTCGAGGGTGTCGAAGTACAACTCACGTAAAGTTGATAATTCCGCGAATGACTGCCATTGCAGATTTCGAACAGAGATGGCGACAAAGAGGAAAAACTGCGGACTGCAGCTTTAAAGTCGCAATGAAACGGAAGTTGAGATTGTCATTTTTTCCTTGTTGTGACGTATATCCGAGTGAAACGGCTTCTGAAATTAGAAAAAAATGTAGGGCGGGGCTTGATTTCGTCCTTCGGGAATTGATTGGATCGTTGGAGGTTGGGCGTTGCAAACAAAATGGAGGCAGATTTGAATGTATCTTCTCTGAGAGGCGTTGCACCGATAGCCGCACCCTCATCGGCTCTGGCCGCACCCTCATCGGCTCTGGCCGCACCCTCATCGGCTCTGGCCGTCTGGCCGCACCCTCATCGGCTCTGGCCGCACCCTCATCGGCTCTGGCCGCACCCTTTCGCCATTGCACGTGACCGAAAGAGATGAGTGGTCGTTTCGAGGGGGGAGGGAAGGCTAATGTATTTATATTATATTATTATTTGTATTATAACGGTACAGGAATTTAAAAAAAAATAATGAAGTGCACAGATAAATCATTTATAATAAACACTACAATATTACATATAAAAAGAAGATTTGTCAAATTTGATTTCATGCCGACTTTAAATAAATATTTTATATCATTTCATTATCTTACACAATTTTGCTAAGTAAATCTATTGTTTTAAAACAATTTGCATATTATATCTATATAAATACAAAATACAGAGATTATTTGTTTTTAATCATAAAATATTAATATTGTAAAATAAAAAAATAAAAACATTTTGTAAATGATATAATGCACAGATCTCAAGGTTCATCACATTCTTCTGGAGTTAATAATAATGTGTTACATTGTCCACTAGATGGAGACATACGATCAGAATAGAGGTGAGGTCACACACTCCTCATTGGACCAGACACAGATGCAGCGTCCCAATTATTTTCGAGAAGAAAAAGTACATAATTTTGACTGTAACAAAATAGTAGGCAAGCTTTGGGACATACTACTTCATTATAATTGTGTCTTTAATGTACCGTCGCTTTGTTAAGTGCATCCTGTCACGGTTTAAACTGCTCTGTCATTCATCTTGTCACAGTTAAAATCCTCTACATTTAATCTCGTATCAGAGAGAAATGAATTAGCATGTCCCTTATGTGTTCGCATAAAAGTTAACGACCAAACGTATCTTTATAAAAGTTTGCAGTTTGTTACAGATTAATTATAATGTGGATAACATTGCATACATATTTATAGAGTACATATTTATCATGTTTAATGATTCTCAATCACTCAAATCCCTTAACTGTCAGTCTCGCACATCCATCATGTTTGTAGTTTTTTAACACTTTTAATTCGTGTTTGTAGTTCTACTCGAATCCTTGTCCAACAAACAAAGGGTGGCGGGCAATATTTACCATTAGATTGTGCATGGATCTGTAAGAATTATAACCAGAAATAGTGGTGTCTTACACTAATTCTAATTTTGAATACAATTTAGGATGGATAGTATGGGAATTGGGATGCAGCAAGAGTGAATATCTCTGTTGCTGGTAATGACAGAAGAAAGTGTTAGTGGAATGGTTGTCCTGAGTCTGTGTACATTGAATCTATTAAGTGTATGTGTCAATGTAAAGTTGACTGTCCATGCTAGCAGATTCCTTCAACAACAAACAAATTATTTTTGTAATTTTATAAAAAAAAAAAAAAGCGGTACACAAAGCAAAATCAAAAATGAACATACAGATGCCACTTACCCGCAGTGCTTCATGTTTTGTGGTTTGTCCATACGGACAGCCAATTTGATCTTTAGGTCGTCTGGGCAACCTTTGGCAACAGTCATTTTATGGAGCTCACACTGTTTGGGACTGTTGGGTGTTGGATGTAGCACAACCTGAAATCACATTATGACAGATAACAACAATCACTGACACAATCACTGGACTATTTCTAGGCTGTCATTAAAGCAAAAGGGGACATACCAAATACTAAAGACATGAAATAACTCAACTTTTCACAACTCTAGGTTATGCTGATAATATAATTTGAAATAATTTTCTTACATATTTCGATGGTCCACTTTAGACATTCTACTATAAGTAACTTGTCAACTACATGTCAACTAACTCTCATTCTTAGAGTATTAATAGATTGTAATAGACTGTTAGGGGTAGGTGTTAGGGTTCGGGTTAGTAGAGTACGTTGACATGTAGTTGAAAAGTTATTTATAGTCAGTTGAATGAATAAAGTGTTAGCAGATATTAAGCAGACAGTCTACTAAAACTCTAATGGCCGGCCTGGTAGTTGACATGTAGTTGCAAAGTTGGTTAGTAGAATGTCTAAATTGAACCATCGAAATAAAGTGTTCCCTTATTTTTTTTAAATTACAATAATGATAAATAGAAGCATTTTCATTTGTGGTCTTACTGTATTTATTACACAGCTAACTCAAATATGGGAAAGTAAAAAAAAAAGAAAAAAGTGGGACACTTTCAAGTAATATCCATTCCCACCAGTGCTCTGATTCATCGCACATCGGATCCTATTATCTCTTACTTCACTTTGAAGTAATCTATCATTTGCATAAGAGCCGACATCAGCACCTTATCTTTCTGTTTTTATATCAGTGCAGGATTATTGTTTAGAGAGAATGAGTGATAGAGAGAGGAAAAGAGAAACGCTATGCATCATTGACTCAGCACTGGATCAAATTCATTAGAACAGCTACAGGCACGCAGGGGGGCTGCTCATTTTGGGGAACTTGTTAGAGCTGATCACCTCCTGATGGCAGAACTGAGCTCAGATCAGTGCTGACTGCTTAAAGAGCTGTGTGAGTATGAGCTGTGATGGTTCAGTGTGTGTGTGTGTGTGTACACGTTTTTCTATCCCGGTGGGGACTTCATTCTGAACGCACACAGACCCATGGGGACCTAAATTGAGGTCCCTATGAGGAAATAAGGTTCTTATAAATCATACAGAATGAGTTTTTTTTTAAGTTTTTTTTTTTATGTAAAAATGCAGGAAGTTTTCAGTGACGGGTAGGTTTAGGGGTAGGGTTAGTGTAAGGGGAGAGAATATACAGTTTGTACAGTATAAAAACCATTACACCTATGAAGAGTCCCTACAAAGATAGTGATCCAGACCTGTGTGTGTGTGTGTGTGTGTGTGTGTGTGTGTGTGTGTGTGTGTGTGTGTGTGTGTGTGTGTGTGTGTGTGTGTGTGTGTGTGTGTGTGTGTGTGTGTGTCTGACCCGTCCTAGCTCTTTGTCCTCCAGTGCCAGCACTCCTGTACTCTCCGTGAAGAGTTTCACCTTTACAGCTGGAAGTGGGTGAGTGGTGGTGAAGTCTCCTTGTGTACCCCACCTAAACAGAGAGAAAGAGAGAGAGAGAGAGAGAGAGAGAGAGAGAGAGAGAGAGAGAGAGAGAGAGAGAGAGAGAGAGAGAGAGAGAGAGAGAGAGAGAGAGAGAGAGAGAGAGAGAGAGAGAGAGAGAGAGAGAGAGAGAGAGAGAGAGAGAGAGAGAGAGAGAGAGACATGAACCTTAATAACAGATTTAATAGCATTCTGAAAGACTTCTCAGTGAGTGGCAGAACAAGATTTGTTCTCACACATGCACAGTTGCACACAGAGACATTTACAGCTTGTGGTCATATCAATGTCATCAAACAGCTGCTCTTTTCTAGGCGGAGGATCTGATGCCAGATTGTTATGAGGACATTCACATTCATGATTTACCAAGTAAACTAACCAAAACCAACACTCCCTGACATCCCAAAAGAGAGGCGCTGTGAACTAGCAAAGACTATGTGTTGATTTGTATCAATGATTGTGTGTGTGTGTACAGTGCTGGTCAGAATTATTTGCTGCCTTGGTAAAATATGATCAAAGATGGCTATAAAAAGCCAAAGATGTTTATCCTTTTGATATTTTATTTTAAAAAAATGCTAAGATCTAACCCTTTATTGAAGTAAAAGAATTGAAAGTCGGGGAAAATCACATTATGAAATAAATGTTTTTCTCCAAAACACATTGGGAAAAATTATTTTTTGAGAGTGGTTTTACAGGTTTTTCAGGATTCTTTGATTAATTAATTTTATTTGAAAATCAACATTTTTTGTAACCATGTAAATTACTTCACTAACACCTTTGATATATGTATTGTATCCCTGCTGAATTTTACTGACCGCAACCTTAAAGTCATTTATGTTGACCAAATAATATTTTACATTAACACTCTCTAATGAGTTTTGGATTAAATAATTTAAATTCTATTACTGATTTTAAAAGAAATAAGCACCACACTGTAGGTTAGGTGGCTTTAAATACTATGTACTTCCATAAAAAAAATCAAATAAAAAAAAATTAGGTACAATTTACTTATTTTGTTCATGTTGTATTGCAAAATACTTTTGCTGCTATTGAGGTGGAACACGGGTTAGGTCAGTGACAGGTTTGGTGGTACGATTAAAGTTTAAGGCTGGGTCAAGGTGCAAGTGAAGGGTCAACAGTGTAATTATAGATGTAACTGCAGAAATGTATTACAGATAACATTAATAATAACATGTATGTACACACTAAGTGCATTGTATCAAAGGATTACTTAAAATGTTAGTAGTTAAAGACAGGTAATATAAAGTAGCACCAAAGATAATATAATGTAACTGTGCAATCTGAGAGTGTCTCTGTAACAAATTATTATTAATTATTATTATAGTCATCATAATTGATTATTACATTACGATGTCAGTGAGCACACATTAAGAATGTGAGAGACATAGGATTGAACTTGGCCTGAATCTATGGTGCCTATTAATAACAGCAAAAATCCAATAAGAAGCTAAAAAAAACTATTCTGAGGTAAATCTGAGCTAGTATGCGTGTCTAACTCTAAATGGATCATCCACTCCCTTTTATTTTTGTGCAGAAAGACTGAATAAACAGAACAAGTACTGTGGCTTTGCTGGCGTGTGTGGCAATACACAGTGTACGTATGTGTGTGTTTTGATGTGACTGTGTGCACATGAAAGAATTTGTGATGCATGTGTGTGTAAGTGTGTGTGTGTGTGTGTGTGTTGTGATCCCTTGAGATGAGGGGGGCAATCATCAGGCCACAGTGCTCTGGGGGAACAGAGAGCAGTAAACGGGTCTCCATGGCAACCCCCTTCTGAGTCTGGCTCCCTGTAGAATGCCTGGGGTGAAGCTGAGGGTACATGGACGCTGTGTCTTTATGTATGTTTGTGTATGTGTCTTTGCTGTGTCAGTGTATAGTGCCGCTCAACCTTCTTTCACATCAGCGTCTCAGGAGAGATGTCTGATGCATATTTGGCTCATGGCGTTGAAACAAACTTTTTGGAAGAAATGATGATTTGCATCATTGCTGTTAGAAAGCATGCCGTTAATACAAGATCATGAAAAACGGTTTTTACTAGGACTTGTTGTGAGCTTGAAGGCTACAGCCACTGGGCATATCATGTGTACTGTGAACTGCTGTTTAGTTTCAGCAGCCGCCTGTGGCACAGTCAGTGTTGGGAGTAACGCGTTACAAAAGTAATGCATTACAGTAACATATTACTTTTTGCTGTAACGCAGTAGTGTTAGGCATTACTAATCAATTTTCAGTAATATTTTACTCGGTACATGTTCAGTAAGGCTTGCGTTACAACAGACTTTTAGTTTTAATTGTAAAAAACAAACAAACAAAAAACAGCAAGACCGCGAGACATTAACGAATGAAAAATGCAAGTAGGCTAAGTTACCTGTTCGTGGTCAGTCAATAGCCGCGTGTGGTGTCCAAATCTGTAAATAAAGACTAAATGGCAGCGTCTGATATATTTGTATAGCGATTTATTTTTTACAGGAGTGCCGTGAAGTATGATTTCAGCCTCTGTGCTCGCGCTGGCCAGTGGAAAAGCGGCTAATGGTGAAGATGGCATGAAGAAGATACATTCGCGAGATGGACGTATCGCATTAGGCTATTCGTTCTGTGTTTCCTTTCTAAACAGTTAGGCTATGTTTATGTGGTATTTTTCATGTTTTCATCACGCAATCATGTTTTTGATGCGGTGGTGACGCGTTCATGTAAGGGCGGCGGCGCTGCCGATAAAGCACCTAAAAGCTGTCACAAAGAACCGGCAAAAGCAATGATTATGAATATGTCAAATATAGCAAGGAGACATTTTAATTGTTTATTAATAAAGTCAAGATGAAGTTGACGATGCTGCCTCACGATCTTCGCAGTAGTGAATGCACCAGAGAGAAATGCACATTTCATTTCATAAGCAGAGAGCAGTCTGTTTTCTTTCGTTTTGAATTGTTCTGTTTACAAGTAGACATTTCAATATAGATATATTTTTCAGGTCCGTGAATAGGCTACCTTATACGCTGAGTTTCGGTTCATTTATGAGACGCGCTCCAGTTCACCTCCGTGTTGTGATTATCTATAATTGTCTGCTATATTTAGCCTACTTCTTATTTAATAAATCCAGGCAATTGGTTGATGAAACATTGATTAAAATTAAGATACAATTAATACAAAACGAAATTCACTTTAAAGAAAGGCTTTTGTGTCTTCTGTGTAAGGTCTCTGTGAAAGATTTAAAGCAGTCTTTTAGTGCCGCTTCAGCGGTCGCGTCCGTAATGGAGAACTGTCACGTCTGTAACATTGTTTTTTCCTCATAAATGCGAACACGAAAAATAAAATAAAATGAATATTTTATGTTCTGTGGAGTGCATAAAACCCAATCATCCGATTTGCGCAGTGTAATTCACAGAACTACAACAACAAAAAATCGTTGCTTCCTAAAAGTTAAAGTTTTTTTTTTGTCACGGATGACTGTCTATTTCCCTAATATTAGGCTAAATATAAAACGCATGTGTAGACTGATATTTTTCTAATGTCTGGATTCCTTTCAGGGAGGAGCCTATGGATAAACAGACGTTTCAATATTTTGGTATTAATGCATTTTCTGAGAATTTATATTTCAAGTTTTGACCGCAAATGTCATGTCCATAACGCTGGAATTCCCACATTTTAAATAATTTATCCTCAACTAGTTTTGTGGTGTAGGTCTACGTATTTTATAATGTTAAGTTAACTTCAAATAATACTAATAGTAATTTAAAGATGTGGTAGCATTGGATCTGGACGGTATGGATAACGCTGGGAGTTGGAAGGGGTGTGTCGCGATTCTGCAGGTTCGTGGATCTGAGTCTCGCGATTCGGTTTCATATCGCATATCGTTACAGCCCTAGTCATTTAGAATGTTAAGTTCTACTTCTGTATAGTTATTTTGGTGAAAGTAACTCAAAAGTAATACAGGAGTAATGTAACGCATTACAATACTGAGACAGTAATATTGTAAGGTAATGAATTACTTTTAAATAACAGTAACAAGTAATATATAATGTATTACAGTTTGGAAGTAACTTGCACAACACTGGGCACAGTAGATGATATATTTTACATATAATCCATTTCTTTTTCTCTATCTATCTATCTATCTATCTATCTATCTATCTATCTATCTATCTATCTATCTATCTATCTATCTATCTATCTATCTATCTATCTATTCGTGCATCCATCCATTTATATATATATATATATATATACTGTATAATCTATCTATATACTCTATCCATCCATCCATTTATCTGTTCGTCTACACACAGGTAGGTTTTTTAAGTATCTTATGCTTACCAGGGCTGCATTTGTTTGATTAAAAATACAGTAAAAACTGTAATATTGTGAAATATTATTACAATTTAAAATACCTGTTTTCAATTCTAAAATATTTTAAAATGTAATTTATTTCTGTGATGGCAACACTGCATTTTCAGCAGCATTTACTCCAGTCTTCAGTGTCACATGATCTTTCAGAAATCATTGAGCCACTTAATATTTTTGTGGAAACTATGATAATTTTTTTTCAGGATTCTTTGAACAGAAAGTTCAAAAGAACAGCTTTTTTTTAACAACGTACTGTAAGAGTCTTGACTGTCACTTTTGATCATTTTAATGCAATTTAATGCAAAAAAGCTCATTTTTTTGTTTCATCTGACCAAAGAACCCGTCCCGTTTGAAGTTCCAGTAGTGTCAGTTACTTTTCAAACGTTCTATGGACAGATGAAACAACAAAACAAAAAAAAAGAGCTTTTTGGCAGCAAACACTTATGGGTTTGGTGCACACAGGGATAAATAAGTACCCCATGTGTAAAATGAAATGCTGTATCGTTGTATCTCTGCTGTATCTTTAATGCTGTGGGCCTAATTTTTTGCCAGCGGTCTTGGACATCTTGTTCAGATAAATGGCATCATGATTCGATCAAATACCAACAGATAAAAAATCTAAACCTGACAACCTC